TGACGACCAATGCCTTTTCCAGCATGATGGAGCACCTTGCCATAAGGCAAAAGTGATAACTAAGTGGCTCGGGGAACAAAACATAGACATTTTGGGTCCATGGCCAGGAAACTCCCCAGACCTTAATCCCATTGAGAACTTGTGGTCGATCCTCAAGAGGCGGGTGGACAAACAAAAACCCACAAATTCTGACAAACTCCAAGCATTCTGGGCAGCCATTAGTCAGGATGTGGCGCAGAAGTTAAATTGACAGCATGCCAGGGCGGATTGCAGAGGTCTTGAAAAAGAAGGGTCAACACTACAAATATTGACTCTTTGCATAAACTTCATGTAATTGTCAATAAAAGCCTTTGACATTTATGGAATGCTTGTAATTATACTTCAGTATACCATAGTAACATCTGACAAAAATATCTCATAACACTGAAGCAGCGACCTTTGTGAAGACCAATACTTGTGTCATTCTCAAAACTTTTGACCACGACTGTACACACAATACCCCATGATGAAAGAAAAAACAGGTTTAGACATTTTTGCAAATGTATTAAAAATAAAATATTACATTTACATAAATATTCAGACCCTTTACTCAGTACTTTGTTGAAGCACCTTTAGCAGCGATTACAGCCTCAAGTCTTCTTTGGTATGACGCTACAAGCTTGGCACACCTGTATTTGGGGAGTTTCTCCCATTCTCTGCAGATCCTCTCAAGCTCTGTCAGGTTGGATGGGGAGCGTCGCTGCACAGCTATTTTCAGGTCTTTCCAGAGATATTTGATCGGGTTCAAGTCCGGGCTCTGGCTGGGCCACTCAAGGACATTCAGAGACTTGTCCCGAAGCCACTCCTGCATTGTCTTGGCTGTGTGCTAAGGGTCATTGTCCTGTTGGAAGGTGAACCTTCGCCCCAGTCTGAGGTCCTGAGTGCTCTGGAGCAGGTTTTCATTAAGGATCTCTCTGTACTTTGCTCCGTTCATCTTTTCCTCGATCCTGACTAGTCTCCCAGTCCCTGCCACTGAAAAATATCCCCACAACATGATGCTGCCACCACCATGATTCACTGTAGGGATGGTGCCAGGTTTCCTCCAGACGTGATGCTTGGCATTGGTCTGAGAGTCTTTAGGTGCCTTTTGGCAAAGTCTTTATGTGCCTTTTACTGAGGAGTGGCTTCCGTCTGGCCACTCTACCATAAAGGCCTGATTGGTGTAGTGCTGCAGAGAATGGTTGTCCTTCTGGAAGGTTCTCCCATCTCCACAGAGGAACTCTAGAGCTCTGTCAGAGTGACCATTGGGTTATTGGTTACCTCCCTGACCAAGGCCCTTCTCCCCTGATTGCTCAGTTTGGCCGGGCGGCCAGCTCTAGGAAGAGTCTTGGTTGTTCCAAACTTCTTCCATTTAAGAATGATGGAGGCCACAGTGTTCTTGGGGACCTTCAATTCCTTCGCCCTCATGGCTTTGTTTTTGCTCTGACATGCACTGTCAACTGTGGGACCTTAGACAGGTGTGTGCCTTTCCAAATCATGTCCAATCAATTGAATTTCACAGGTGGACTCCAATCAAGTTGTAGAAAAATCTCCAGGATGATCAATGGAAACAGGATGCACCTGAGCTAAATTTCAAGTCATATAGTAAAGGGTCTGAATACTTATGTAAATAAGGTATCTGTACCATTTCAAAAAAACTGTTTTCACTTTGTCATTATGGGGTATTGTGTGTAGATTTTTATTGTTTTATTTTATCCATTTTAGAATAAGGCTGTAACGTAACAAAATTTGGAAAAAGTCAAGGGGTCTGAATACTTTCCAAATGCACTGTAGGTATGCGGTCAGTTGTTATATTGAGAAGAGTCAAATAAATGCATCTTATAAGTGATTTGAAAGATCTAATATTTTTTTATCTTACTTTAATTCATGTAGTTTACTCATCTTTGTTTCCCTATGACAGTGTAGAAGTAGTACCACAACCTCTTCAGTAGATGGCACGGTGTAAGCCTGGGGTGTAATCATTACTCCAAACAGTTGCAAAACGTTCTGTTTTGTTACGAAAATGAGTTTCTATTGGACAAATTCAGGTAAGTCTCTCCCGTTTCATTCCGTTTTGTAACAGAATCGGCATAATGAATACGCCCCTGTTCAAAGCACTGAAAATCTGGATTCTATGACCTTGATATTGTGGTATCTGGATCAGAATGATCATATCTGATTATTTTCTGAAAAACTGGCTCAAAAACAGCCAGATCGATCTGATCCTGGATAGTAAAAAACTGGGCCCAGTGGGAGGGGTGTTTACATGCCTGTCCCACAGACCTGTTTCTCTGTCCTGGTGGTGAGGTGAGGAGACATTTCACATGAACAGCATCCACAGAAACCTGAAACCTTAGGTGTCAAACCAATCTAAGCTTCCCCAAGTGGTGTAAAGTACTTATGTATGTTTGTAATTCTGTCCTTGAGCTGTTCTTGTCTTTTAATGTTCTGTATTATGTCATGTTTCATGTTTTGTGTGGACCCCAGGAGGAGTAGCTGCTGCTTTCGCAACAGTTAATGGGGATCCTAATAAAATACCCCCAAAAAAGATGACAAAAATACTTTAAAAAGTACTACTCAAGTAGTTTTGGGGGGGGTATCTGTACTTTGCTATTTTATATTTTTGACAACTTTTACTTCACTACATTCCTAAAGCAAATAATGTACTTTTTACTCCATACATTTTCATTGACACCCAAAAGTAGTCATTATATTTTGAATGCTTAGCAGGACAGAAAAATTGTTGAATTCACGCACTTATCAAGAGAACATCCCTGGTCATCCCTACTGCCTCTGATCTGGCGGACTCACTAAACACACATGCTTCATTTGTAAATGATGTCTGAGTATTGGAGTGTGCCCCTGACTACCCAAACTTTTAAAAAACTGGTTTGCTTAATATATTTGAAATGATTTATACTTAAAGGAAAATTCCACCCGAAAACTATCTTTTGGTATTTCTTTCATTTTGCATCATATGATGCTGCGTTTTGCGTCATGATGCAAAATGTATCATACAGGGATGATTTCTGTATTTTGAAAGTTGCATATTTTGAAAACCTGGTTGCTGACAAGCAAAACATTTTGGGACAGTGTCAACAATGGACTAATGAAACAAATACCAAAATACAGTTTTTGGGTGAGTTTTCCTTTAAGTATATTTTAACAATTACATTTACTTTTGATACTTAAGTATATTTAAAACCAAATACTTTTAGAATTTTACTCAAGTAGTATTTTACTGGGTGACTTTCACGTTTACTTGAGTCATTTTACATTTTTTACATTTTAGTCATTTAGCAGACGCTCTTATCCAGAGCGACTTACAGTTAGCACATACATTATTTTATCGAACCCACAACCCTGGCGTTGCAAACGCCATGCTCTACCAACTGAGCTACATCCCCTGCCGGCCATTCCCTCCCCTACCCTGGGCCAATTGTGCGTCGCCCCATGGGTCTCCCGGTCGCAGCCGGCTACGACAGAGCCTGGATTTTCTATTAAGGTATCTTTACTTTTACTCAAGTATGACAATTGGGTACCTTTTCCACCAGTGGATTCCCCTTATCCAGTCACTGTGTACATGGCAGCTGTTGCTAGGCCAGCTATGACTGATAAACACATATGTAACATGGGTGAACTGAATAGACTCCAGGGGCGGTCACCATGTATGTTTCATTACTCCCAGATTGTTAACATCGCTTTCCCCCCAGTTTGATTGATCTCCCACACTAAATGAGCAAAATATTTGTTACTGAGCTAAGTGTGTTTTTATAACAATATAATAATTACATATTGTATCTCTATGGGGGTTTTTATCCATAGGAGCAGTAAGACCAGGCCTGTGAAAGAGTTGAGACAAGATGATGCGTCAAGCTTTAAGATGATGAGGCCCTGAGACCACTTACATGGAAGAGCCAACACAAAACCATGCAGCCTGGCCAATAACAAACCATGAGAAGTAAGTCTACCATACCCTTACAAAACCCATGTCAATATTCAATACATAAAATATATATTCTCTCTCTACACGTGCTGTACAGGTATTGGATTAATGCTTTACATTACAATGTAAGCCTATTGAACGTATGAACAGCTAAGATACTAAATATATTGACAAGAAACATGGTAACACCGCATTTAGATATACCATTCCCCCTCCCATGCTAACCAGCTGTTTGTGTGTGCGTGCGTCCTTGGTGAAACCCAGGTGTTCTCCTGATGCTGATGCTGTCAATCACACATGACCAGAGCCTTTCTTCATGTCCAGCCTCCTGTGTTGTGTGCTCTGGCGACGCTGTCATCTGCCACAAGCTCTCCAACATCATAGGTAAGAATGAGCATTGACTAAGTTGATGAACAAATATTGCCGTCTACTGATGGAAAGATGGCATTAATTGGAGTATGATTTGTTGGAATGTCTGGCTCCACACTAGCCTATGGCTATCATAAAGATCCTGACTCTTTGTGTCAGCTATCTGTGTAGCCAGGTGTATGTTTTCTTCCCCATCTAGAGGCCCCTGAGACCACCAAGGCCCTGATGCTGACCGATGGCGCCATCGTCTCCGTGGACCGTCACTTCCTGTCTGACATGTCCAACATGACCGTGCTGTCCCTGAGCCACAACGCCATCGCCACCCTCACCCACGACGCCTTCCAAAACCTCACCATCCTCCACACCCTCCTCCTGGACCACAACCGCCTCTCCAGCCAGGCCCTGGAAAGGGCCACCTTCTCCTGGCTGCCCAGGTTGGAGATCCTCCAGCTGGGGAACAATGTCCTGGGGGAAGTCAAAGGCTCCTGGTTCCACGCCGCCAGGGCCCTGCGGACACTGCAGCTGGGGGGGAACCGCCTCACCAGGCTGGACACCACCACCTTTGCCTCGGCTGACCTCCGGGGGCTGGAGACCCTGGATCTGTCCGATAATCTGATCACATATCTGGGGAGGGATAGCTTTCGGGGTCCTGCCGGGGCTCCGTAGTCTGGATCTGTCCAGGAATCAGCTCCGGAAAGCCCTGCCTGAAGCGTTTTCATACCTGTCTTGGCTAACTAGTCTCAACCTGGAACTGAACAGGTGGAACTGTACGTGTGAGCTGAGGGAGCTGGCGTCTTTCCTCACCAGCTACATGGAGGCTCCGGATAAGGTTGTTTGTTTTAACCTCTTATTGTTGTCTTTTCATACAATTATTTAATTTGGACTGCACATTGTATGAAAGATACTAAATAATGTTTATTATTCTTGTTCAGGTGCTGTTCAACGGGCGTAGGATGGTGTGTGTGAGTGCTGACAACCCGGCAGTGAAGACTGTGTTGGAGCTGACGGAGGCCAACTGTGTTCCACCCAATCAGAACATCACAGTGCAGGTGGAGGCCAAGAACTCAGTCTCTCCTCAGCGCTACACCAGAGACCTGGCTCTGGCCGCTGCCTTCTGCTTCGCTGGTCAGTACCTCAGGAACTATCTCCTCAATGGCCACATGTACAGTTGAAGTCGGAAGTTTACATACACTTAGGTTGGAGTCATTAAAACTCGTTTTTTCAACCACTCCACAAAATTCTTGTTAACAAACTATAGTTTTGGCAGGTCGGTTAGGACATCTACTTTGTGCATGACACAAGTAATTTTTCCAACAATTGTTTACAGACAAATTATTTCACTTATAATTCACTGTATCACAATTCCAGTGGGTCAGAAGTTTACATACACTAAGTTGACTGTGCCTTTAAACAGCTTGGAAAATCCCAGAAAATGATGTCATGGCTTTAGAAGCTTCTGATAGGCTAATTGACATAATTTGAGTGAATGGAGATGTACCTGTGGATTTATTTCAAGGCCTACCTTCAAACTCAGTGCCCCTTTGCTTGACATCATGGGAAAATACAAAGAAATCAGCAAAGACCTCAGAAAAAAAATTGTAGACCTCCACAAGTCTGGTTCATCCTTGGGGGCAATTTCCAAACGCCTGAAGGTACCACGTTCATCTGTACAAACAATAGTACACAAGTATAAACACCATGGGACCACGCAGCCGTCATACTACTCAGGAAGGAGACACGTTCTGTCTCCTAGAGATGAACGTACTTTGGTGCGAAAAGTGAAAATCAATCCCAGAACAACAGCAAAGGACCTTGTGAGGATGCTGTAGGAAACAGGTACAAAAGTATATAAATACACACAGTAAAACGAGTCCTATATCGACATAACCTGAAAGGCCGCTCAGCAAGGAAGAAGCCACTGCTCCAAAACCGCCATAAAAAAGCCAGACTACGGTTTGCAACTGCACATGGGGACAAAGATCGTACTCTTTGGAGAAATGTCCTCTGGTCTGATAAAACAAAAATATAACTGTTTGGCCATAATGACCATCGTTATATTTGGAGATAAAAGGGGGATGCTTGCAAGCCGAAGAACACCATCCCATGATGGGAGTGGCAGAATCATGCTGTGGGGGTGCTTTGCTGCAGGAGGGACTGGTGCACTTCACAAAATAGATGGCATCATGAGGAAGGAAAATTATGTGGATATATTGAAGCAACATCTCAAGACATCAGTCAGGAAGTTAAAGCTTGGTTGCAAATGGGTCTTCCAAATGGACAATGACCCCAAGCATACTTCCAAAGTTGTGGAAAAATGGCTTAAGGACAACAAAGTAAAGGTATTGGAGTGGCCATCACAAAGCCCTGACCTCAATCCTATAGAAAATGTGTGGGCAGAACTGAAAAATCGTGTGCGAGCAAGGAGGCCTACAAACCTGACTCAGTTACACCAGCTCTGTCAGGAGGAATGGGCCAAAATTCACCCAACTTATTGTGGGAAGCTTGTGGAAGGCTACCCGAAACGTTTGACCCAAGTTAAACAATTTAAAGGCAATGCTACCAAATACTAATTGAGTGTATGTAAACTTCTGACCCACTGGGAATGTAATGAAAGAAATAAAAGCTTAAATAAATCATTATCTACTATTATTCTGACATTTCACATTCTTAAAATAAAGTGGTGATCCTAACTGACCTAAAACAGGGAATTCTTACTAGGATGAAATGTCAGGAATTGTGAAAAACTGAGTTTAAATGTATTTGGCTATGGTGTATGTAAACTTCCGACTTCAACTAACTTTTCTCTTCTTAAATAGTGGTAAATACAGTATATGAAATTGATTGGCTTCTGTATCATTCATTCAACACTGTAAAGTGTATCAACACTAAAGTACAGTGTGTTTTGTCTTTTATCCCCCTACATAAATAAGTCAGTCAGCTGTAACTCATAACTATGCTAATAATTTAAAGGTGGTGTTGGACTCACCCTAGCTGTGGTGTACATTTTTCACCACAAACTGGAGACGAATAAGAGAGACCGGACTGGAGCTGAGGAGGAGGAGAATAGGAGGACAGCACCCACCCAAACAGTCCCCCAGTGGGATCTGAGCAGGGAGAACCAAGCCCTACACTTGGCTCGAATGGGACTGGAAACCAAGCTGACGCTCCTCAATAGCAACCAGCAAGGCAGCCACCTTCAGCCCTGGGAAAGGGAGAAAGCCATGTATGATCTGAGGATGGGTAAAGACGGCTGCCATTTTACATGCCCCCACTGTGGCCCTGCACTCACTGGGTCTGCAGTGGAACAGGGGGGAGGAGTTGGACACATAGACGCGGCCCTGGACATGCTCAGGCAGGGCGGAGCCCAACCTAATAAGATGGAGAGTCTGGCCATGACAGAAGAGAGGGATGAGAGGAGTAGACACGTGCCACCGCAAGCACTGATCTCAAAGATGAAAGGTGAGCATGTTTTGGTGACTATTTCCCTGACTGTGTAGCTAGCACATGGGGATGCGTGAAACGTACTCCTCAGCATGAAGTGTCGCCACAAAATTGTTAACTTATCGGTGGCGCCGACTGGTAAAACGCTTCGGGAGGGCGGTTACGTGTGCTAGCAAAGCAGAGGTCCTGGGTTCAAGCGTCAGTGTGAGCCGAATCAGGCAGAAGTGGTACTCGCTAAGCAGGGTTGGGAAGGTTACTTTCTAAATGTAATCCATTACTAGTTACCTCTCCGAAATTGTAATCAGTAATGTAATTTTTGGATTACCCAAACTCAGTAGCATAATCTGATTACTTTCAGTTACTTTTGGATTATTTTCCCTTTAAGAGGCATTAGAAGACAAAAAGGCATCAAACGCATTTAGTGTGTCTCTGACTTGTGGATAAAATGCAAACTTTATTCAATGAATGTCATTGAGAAAACAGAAAGGTGTCATAATGTGTTCTTTTTTTCTGCAAACATCCTTTCTGAATTTTAGTTTTTCTAAGTATCTGTAATCTGATTACAATATTTTAGCTGGTAACGTAACTGATTACAGTTGCAGTTTCTATGTAATGAGTTACTCCCAAACCCTGTCGCTAAGCAAGGAGCGTGACGTCCATTACAACTGCATAGACTGTTAGGATGAGAGAATGAAGGAAAATGTATTAGGATGAAAGAAAATTAGACTACAGACAATACAATAAGTAATTGACAGACACACAAACTTCAGATTATCAAAGATTTATCTAACACTGTCTTTCCCGGTGTTCATACATAGATCTAAGAGGTCAAAGGCCATTTAACAGGAGACCAGAGGGTCAGAGCAACCATACTCTCAGTCATCAGGAGTTTCTCCATCACCAACAGGGTTATAAAAAACATGGTCCTAATGGCAACAACCAGCCATTGGGTGGCAGCAACAGCTACTTTTCGCCTGATCAAAGAAACATGTCCACACATAACAGTGTAAAATATGAGATGGCAAGGCCTAGAAATTACATTGACAACAAACAGTCAAATTTCTATTTCCAACCAGAGGGTGGGAGACCTGTGACTGACTATCAACCCCAAATCACCAGCTGTGTGAACTGTCACAGAACCTATGAGTACAGACAGCCAGGGGATAAAGTCAGGGATGTTTCATATGGACTCCATGCAAGAGAATCTGCTGGGTATGAGGGATTCCCCAACCACAACCAACTGACAAGCCTAAATATGGGAAAGAACATGAACTACAACCAGTCTAATGTGGGCATCTATGCAAAGCATGCAAGTGAGCAGAGGAGTGTGACTTTTGACTTGGAAAGATCTGGAGTGCATGTCGTTGATGTACAAAAGATTAACCGTGATAGGGAAGGCAAACATGACAGGATTCAAAGTTCTAAGAATGTGGAATATAGTGACAAGCAGACCCTGAGCTATGAAGGCACTGGACGATCTGTGAGGAATAATGCTCTTGAAAGAGAAGACCACTCCAAAAGGCATAAACATAAAGTCCAGTCAAATGGTTTACTAAAAGTAAAGCTCAACCTTAACCCACTTAAGAAAAGCAAGGTCCATCCAAGGAAAAACAGCCGCGAGAAACTAGAACAAGGTGATAGAGAACGAACCAACTCCAAGAACCGAAAACTGAAAACGAGGGTTAAAGATGTCAAAGGCAAAAGGCACCACCAGGATGAGTCTAAAGGAAAAACAGACATATCCAATAAAGGAAACTCGACTCCCAAAAACAAAGCCAATCAGTCAACCAAAAATAAATCTACCACCAGCAAGTCTAAAGAAACTGATGATAATTATGAAGATAATGAGTCAGAAGAGGAGGAAGATAAGGAAGGCCACAGAAAAACAAGGCATCCTCCAAGCAAAACAGGAACACCAGGAAGGCTCGAATTACCATCCCAATGAGAGTAGAGCTGCTCAAGATCAGAAGAAGGCCAATGTCTCACAAAATAGAACTGGAGGAGTAACAAAGGAATCTGGTGGAGCACCTATACCAAGTAATTTGAGTCCTTACCAGTCAGACCCCAACAGAGCTGGTGGTAGTTCAGCCAATGGGCAACAAGTGAAACAATACAAAAATGGACAGGGCCTAGCACTAATCCCTGAGGTACCCCAACACCCCCGTTACCTAGGCGATGGAGTGACTCTTCAGAGGGCATTGAGTAACCCACAACTGTCAACAGCACACCCCCTCACAGGAATGGAAAGGACTTCCAGTTACAGTAAAAAAACACAAACAACTGTACATTCAATATTTGTCAGCCAATGCACTTACTCAACCTGTCATCCTATTTGTAACACCTGATTCAAGGGGTTATAAACTATTTAATGCTGAATTTTTGTTACGTGTGTACACTGGAAGATGACTTGTATTTCTATTAATTCTGTTTTACACAAATAAAAAAATAAAAATAAACTTGGAAATAAAACGTGCCCTGTCCTCAAGTGTCCTGAATCCTTATTTTAAGTTACACATGTTGGTTTGGGTTACATTTGGCACAGGGTAGACACATGGCAGTGTTTACGGTTTAGTTTGACAGCCCTACTGACCCCTAAATCCACTCCATTGGGTTTAGGCTTTCACAAGGTGACTGTTGTGAAGGGTCATGGCACCCCTACAGGACTCTATTTGCTTCCAATTAGCCTTAATCACCTCCTCTACTTTTTCACTTCTCTGTTTCACCATATAAACAGCTTTCTTCTCCCTGAGCACTAGTAATGGTTCATTGGGGATGCCACGGGGCAGCCCTTTTCCTCCCTTCCGTTTGTGCGTGATATGAGAAAGTGCCTATTTAACATGTTGTTGGAGATACCACTACATCCTAAAGCACATCCTTGTTATCCACATCCAATCCAATCTCCAAGGCCTTACAAGCCACAACTCCTAACCCTATCCTAACCGCCATCCAAACCCTCCCCCCATGTGCTCTGTTCGTTCCTATGTTCAACTGTGTGTGTGTAATAAATACCCCTAAACCTGGATTCCTGCTCCATCTCCTTATTTGCATTCTGACTGATGCACCATTATAGCAAGAACAGTCCTGAACCCAGTCCATTCTAGCCCTAGTCCTTTTAATATAATAATATAATATAATAATATGCCATTTAGCAGACGCTTTTATCCAAAGCGACTTACAGTCATGCGTGCATACATTTTTTTTTGTGTATGGGTGGTCCCGGGGATTGAACCCACAACCTTGGCGTTACAAGCGCCGTGCTCTACCAGCTGAGCTACAGAGGACCAGAGAGCTACAGAGAACATTTTCTTCAGTGACACTTCATTATAAGGCTTTGTAGCTCAACAAGGGGCTCTATTTCTAGGTAAACTATTAGGGGCGGTTTCCCAGACAGAGTTTAATTTAAAATCAGGACTAGGCTAATTCTACTTAAATTAATCCAGATTTAAACTTAACTTCAGCTGAATTAGTTCTAGACTAGGGAGTAAGGACTAACCAGTTAATCTTTGTGAAGCCTAATTAGATTATAAAAAACAGGGATGGGACACTAATACATAAGCATTGTGTGGAATTTGAGCAAGTCACCTAAACCAAACAATGGACAGAGGTAAAAGAAAACGTTCAAAGAATTTCAGTGACTTTGGAAAAAACGTAGAAGGGAATCGTGTCAGACCCCCCAATTATCGAGAACAAACAGCATGATTCAGCAACAGAAAACAATGAAAAGATTGCCTGGACTACCATTTGTAATGAATTCAACAAATGAAAAAGTAAACAAAAGGACGCTACAATAACTTCAGGTAAGATACTGTATTTACTGTTGGCCCACTTTTACAAATCAGAGTCACTTTGAAATGTTAGTTTTCTTGGGTAACACAATTCAGTGGGGACGAAATGTATTTGTGTGACAGAAATACAGTTGAAGTCGGAAGTTTACATACACTTAGGTTGGAGTCATTAAAACTTGTTTTTCAACCACTCCACAAATTTCTTGTTAACAAACTATAGTTTTGGCAAGTCGGTTAGGACACCTACTTTGTGCATGACACAAGTAATTTTTCCAACAATTGTTTACAGACAGATTATTTCAATTATAATTCACTGTGGGTCAGAAGTTTACATACACTAAGTTGACTGTGCCTTTAAACAGCTTGGAAAATTCCAGAAAATGATGTCATGGCTTTAGAAGCTTCTGATAGGCTAATTGACATCATTTGAGTCAATTGGAGCTGTACATGTGGATGTATTTCAAGGCCTACCTTCAAACTCAGTGCCTCTTTGCTTGACATCATGGGAAAATCAAAAGAAATCAGCCAAGACCTCAGAAAAAAAAATGGTAGACCTCCACAAGTCTGGTTCATCCTTGGGAGCAATTTCCAAATGCCTGAAGGTACCACGTTCATCTGTACAAATAATAGTACGCAAGTATAAACACCATGGGACCACGCAGCCGTCATACCGCTCAGGAAGGAGACGCGTTCTGTCTCCTAGAGATGAACATACTTTGGTGCGAAAAGTGCAAATCAATCCCAGAACAACAGCAAAGGACCTTGTGAAGATGCTGGAGGAAACAGGTACAAAAGTATCTATATCCACAGTAAAACAAGTCCTATATCGACATAACCTGAAAGGCCGCTCAGCAAGGAAGAAGCCACTGCTCCAAAACCGCCATAAAAAAGCCAGACTACGGTTTGCAACTGCACATGGGGAAAAAGATCGTACTTTTTGGAGAAATGTCCTCTGGTCTGATGAAACAAAAATAGAACTGTTTGGCCATAATGACCATCGTTATGTTTGGAGGAAAAAAGGCGGTAGCTTGCAAGCCGAAGAACACCATCCCAACCGTGAAGCACGGGGGTGGCAGCATCATGCTTTGTGGGTGCTTTGAGGCAGGAGGGACTGGTGCACTTCACAAAATAGATGGCATCATGAGGAAGGAAAATTATGTGGATATATTGAAGCAACATCTCAAGACATCAGTCAGGAAGTTAAAGGTTGGTCGCAAATGGGTCTTCCAAATGGACAATGACCCCAAGCATACTTCCGAAGTTGTGGCAAAATGGCTTAAGGACAGCAAAGTCAAGGTATTGTGGCCATCACAAAGCCCTAACCTCAATCCTATAGAACATTTGTGGGCAGAACTGAAAAAACATGTGTGGGCAAGGAGGCCTACAAACCTGACTCAGTTACACCAGCTCTGTCAGGAGGAATGGGCCAAAATTCACCCAATTTATTGTGGGAAGCTTGTGGAAGGCTACCCGAAACGTTTGACCCAAGTTAAACCATTTTAAAGGCAATGCTACCAAATACTAATTGAGTGTGTGTAAACTTCTGACCCACTGGAAATGTGATGAAAGAAATACAAACTGAAATAAATCATTCTTTCTACTATTATTCTGACATTTCACATTCTTAAAATAAAGTGGTGATCCTAACTGACCTAAGACAGGGAATTTTTACTAGGATTAAATGTCTGGAATTGTGAAACACTGAGTTTAAATGTATTTGGCTAAGGTGTATGTAAACTTCAGACTTCAACTGTATAACACTATCATACATAATTACTAATATAATTTCTATATTGTCTTCATAAGTTCCTGTGGAAAAACAAAAATCAACATAAAGAAGACAAATGCTGTTACTCATAGGGAGCGTTTCAAGACAGGTGGCGGACCCCCAGTTAGACCAGAGACAGATTAGCTGGAGGACTTGACCGGGATCATTGATGGCCAGCAACCGCTGGAAGGTATCCCAATGATGACCATTTGGACAGCTCAGATGGGGGACCATTCCAATCCTCTTTTGGTAGGACACAATTCAACATGTGCCATCCTCGGACTGCAGGGAATATGTCATGTCAGTCATCTCTGTAATGAACTCAACTCTTGAGGAAATAATATTGTCTAATGCAGCAATGTAATCATTTTCTTGAGGCAGATGATCACCATAGCTTGCAGGGCATAAGACAGGATAAAGGTCAGCCAGGAGGGAAAATTGTCACTAACCCGGGCCGGAGGACAAAGACAAAGAGGCTGAGTATGCATGAGAAACTGGCCATGGAAATTCATGAGTGCAAGCTAATGTATTTAACAGAAGAGCATGATATGAAGACGTGAATCCTTCATGTTGAATTAGCTATGAAGGAGGAGAGAAACACAAAGCAGCAGCAGTACCAATGTTCTTCTCAAACCAGCACCAGTTCGGGGTTCCAATATTTCCATTTGTGAATTAAAACCCAATTTGTTACCAATCCATGGCTATTGTTTGCTTCAATCACTTGAGCCACAGTATCTCTGCAGGCGAATCCCTTACTGTCATTGTCTGCCTCGACCATGGGAACATCTGGGTCATCCTCATCTTCAGTGCGAGGATCTGGGCAGCCATGCTGTTTGAGGTCATTGTGAAGCACTGCTGTTGCAATTATGACAACGCAGCATCTTCTTGTGTTTGAGACACTGGAAACGACTCTTCCATACACCAAACATGCGCTCCACTACACCTCTGGTGCAGATATGAGCTTGGTTGTACCGTTGTTGCTCAGGTCCTATTGCATGAAGATAGGGGTGAACAAGAAGTAGGTCTGTGCATACCCACTGTCACCAAGTATGATTCCACTGTTGTCCTCCTTCAAGAGGAATTCTGGATAATTCTTGAGTCATGAGTTTCACCTTTCCAACGTGCAACACTGTTGGAGAACTGCAAATTGGGAGTGCACACACTGTACATTTATTGAGAACCCGTTTTCACGATTACAGCACTCCTCAGCATCTGCTGTAGAATATGACATCCCTCTATACAGCCAATGACTCCAGGGAAGTTCCCATATTCATAAAACTCTACCTTGTAGTTGGCTTGGGCAGCGTGGCGCAGTGGTTTAAGGCACTGTATTGCAGTGCTAGCTGTGCCACTAGAGATCCTGGTTCGAATCCAGGCTCTGTCGTAGCCGGCCGCGACCGGGAGACCCATGGGGCGGCGCACAATTGGCCCAGCGTCGTCCAGGATAGGGAATGGCCGGCAGGGATGTAGCTCAGTTGGTTGAGCATGGCGTTTGCAACGGCAGGGTTGTGGGTTCAATTCCCATGGGGGGCCAGGAAAAAAAAAAAAAAAATATATATATATATATAAAAGAATAATGTATGCACTCACTAACTGTAAGTCGCTCTGGATAAGAGCGTCTGCTAAATGAATAAAATGTAAATGTAAAAAAATAATAATTGTCTTTCAGACTTTGTGGACTATTCTGCATACAGTCGGTTCACTTACACCACACAAATCTCCTGTTTCACAATGGAAGGTTCCAGATGCCAAAAACCTCAAGGTGATCAGTACTTGTAGGGAAGGAGGGATGGGCCTTCCCCTAAAAGAGTCAGATGAAAGCCTTGGCTCAAGCAAACAAATGATGTCAGCTGCATTTGGGTTGCCGTCTGTCTATAACCGCTCTTCTGTCTGGCCTTGGTGGTGCTCTTTGATCATCATTGAAATAGTCCAGGTAATCCATTGCCAAGATCAACCTGGGTGCTAACATCCATTCATCTGAAATTAAACCTTCACTTAGATCTAGATTAACTCTAATCGTCCTTCTGGAAATCAGACTTTTATAATCTAGACTAGGGCAAATCAGACTATTTTAAACCATGTCTGAGAAATGCCATTTCAGTTAGTCCAGTTTAAAAATTCAATTTAGTCTAGGATTAGGCTTAATCTCTGTCTGCAAAACCACCCCTGAATGAGTGGAACAGTGGGATGAAGTTCATGGAAGACTGTCTGAATGGTGACCTTGTAAACTCTTAGCCTTGGTTGTGTGTGAATAATGAATAAGGCAGTCTGCCATTATTACCAGCTTGCACCTGAGCCTAAAACTAATGACAAGAGTCAGTTATTCCATTGTTTACTTGGCCCACTAACTCTTTTATTGACATTTGCTCATTTCATGTGATCCCTCACAGGGCTCTGAGGTTTCCAAATTCCATGTTAGTCTTTAACTAGGGCCCCAAGTTTGTATGTTTACCATGGTCAATATCCATAGTCATGAGAGTAAATTGCAATCAACAAAATATTATTCAGTATGGGACTGTCTGTCCTTCACAGCGTTCAGTAGTGAATCACTGGGTCATGTTCATTAGGCACCAAACGGAAGAAAACATACTGAAACAGGCAGGGACAACCTGGACTAGTCCAGTAAGAAACTTACCTTTTCGTTTTCCGTTGCAAAATATTTTGATATTTTCCGTTGCATGTCCTAATGAACACAATCCTGTTGTCTGGAGAAAAACAATGTTCTGATAAGCTGATAATGTGACATTAGAATACAAGGTGCTGGAAAATAAACTCCCTATCACACCAGCAGTTGTTATTACTATATCTTTATATAAAAGGGTATCAATAATTAACCCATCAACTATTGGATAAATTAATTTGGTTATAAATCATTAGGCCACCACACTTTCACCTTCTAAGTTCATCCTTGACCCGTGAAAAACCAATAGTTTTCCCTGAAGGGTCGAGCCATTAAGAGTGAGATGAGAGGTGATCTGCCCTCTGAAATCACTGATTACTGGTCCACAGATAACATTGTTGGCCTGCACTGGAGAGTAAACACACACTAAAACTCTAAACTTTCTCTCACTCCACAACAGTCCTTGTCTGCACCCAATCTTATAATAATAATAATAATAATAATTTGCCATTTAGCAGACGCTTTTATCCAAAGCGACTTACAGTCATGTGTGCATACATTTTTACGTATGGGTGGTCCCGGGGATCGAACCCACTACCCTGGCGTTACAAGCGCCATGCTCTACCAATTGAGCACTTGTCACAGCTTTGAGACCTCATAGAACAGAGAAAGAATTAATGAAGAAATGAACGATGCATGGAGGAAGAAAACATTTGAAGAAGGAAAGAAGAGGAAGAGGATGATATATCCGATACTTTCCTGAAGAACAGTAGATCATGCTGTGTCGGTGTAGGTCTCCTTGTACTGCTTCTGACCATCACCATCACCTCTGTTGTTGTGACTCAAAATGCAGGTAACTCAAACTTCTTATTTTGTTTCACTTTTTCAAGACAGAACAAAAAATACATTCATCAGCATACAGTAATCAGATATACTTGGAACGTATCATCACCAGTATTGACCTTAATGTCATACAATAATGTCAAAATGACCTTTTTTTACTGTAGCCTACTGTATATGACTTTCTTATTTATCTTTGTAACTAGGGTTTACAGGGTAATGATAGATAACCATCTGTGATAACTGTGCCTGTGCATACTGCTAGGGACCTCTGAGACGATCCTACCGTTCCCTACTGATGGACACATGCTGGACTTCCTTGTCCAAACTGGAGACATCAGGGAGAGAGACGCACTGCATGCCACCTGGTATCACCATGCCAACATGTCAGAGATGAACAAAGCACTGCAAAGTAATGTATTTTGATAAAATATAAGTTGTTCTCTGAATTCTATGTAACTTTAGCAGAATCGTACAGAAAGTGTCGACATCAAGTCTACATTTGACAGTTTACATTTGCAGTAGTAAAAACCTGGGTAGTATTCATTAGGACACACCTTAGCAAAACGTTTAGCAAAGGGAGGGACTGTGAAGAGACACACACAGGCACATATTCACATACGTATAGACACTCACTCTACACATGGATGTTGTATTGTAAATATGTGATAGTGGAGTAGTGGCCTGAGGGAACACACTAAATTTATTGGGTAAAGTGTTATGAAATATGATGTTATGTAATATTTTAAATTGTATAAAACTGCCTTAATGTTGCAGGACCCCAGGAAGAGTAGTTACTGCCTTGGCAGCAGCTAATGTGATCTTTAATAAATACAAACACCTGAATGTGTTTCTTATTGGACACATTCAGATAGTCCCTCCCTGTTTCAGTTCATTTTCATCTGTTGGTGCCATTTGAATACAACCCTGTTCTGTCCACCTCTCTGGGTTCTAGAGGCTGATGTGACCATACAGGGACACAACACGGTCAACGTGACCACCACTCTGGGCCAGTGGCTGGATGCAGTGCTCCAGTCAAAGAAAGGTATCAAACCTATCAATACAACTTTAGATATCAGTTAGAGCCTTAGCGTCTTCTGGTCCTTTAGTACCAATCAATAATGTCGATCAATTACCTAAAAGGATCAGCTGCATAACATAAGATAGCATAGTGAATCTAATCTGATGTACTTTCATATTTTACGAAACCAGCTAACTAGACTAATAATATTGATACACTCGCTAAGGCTAGGGGTCTTAGGCCTAGCTAAATCGTCTGTAACCTGATTTAATGTGTGCATTTACGTGAGAATTCAGTATGCAGACCGTGTTGTATGCATGTGCCCCAGGAGACAGCAAACTTACAGAGTTCAAGGCTAGCTGTCTTGACTTCCCGGTCGGCCAGCCCAAGTGAGTGATTGATGTTCAGAGTAGTGATGAAAATAAATATATACAAAAAGGAGACTACAAAAAGGTATGCCCAAAACTAAGGATTTAAACCAAACCAAAAGGCCCACCAAACTCCAGCAGCCTCACGGCTCTGCAAGCTGCCACACTGATTGCCCACACCTGTGCACAATCTAAACTTAAAGATGCACGATACAGAAATCGCTCTGCCATTTCCTGGTTGCTAAAGTTCTAATAGTTTGCCTAATTTCAGATTGTGACAAAACAAGCGTTCATTGTGTAGTGAATCATTGTACCATCTAAACTGCTGTGAAATATATATATTCCCATAACCAAAAATATTATATTTTCAGCTGTTTAAAGCTGGTGTACAAAACCGAAAGTAAAAGACGCAAAAACGACACTTAAGAACGGGAAGCATAGAAATAGCGCACATAGAATAGATCTACCGGTTCTTAGACTTGCTTTCAATGACAATTAAAGATCTATAACTTACATTTCTATGTGAATTTGGTCATTACATATTGTAGCTTTAAGTTACATGTAGCTTTAACAAGACTCCCTGGCAAAGCGTGTGGAAGTGGTAGTATAGTGTCTAAATATGCTCCTAAGAACTAACATACCTAACCTATTCCATAACACATACAACAGGTGTATGATACTATTGTATTCTGACCCCTTCAGGCATAAAGCTGGACTTCAAAAGCATTCAGGCGGTGAGTCCTTCCCTGGACATCCTGAGCATGACAAACCCGACTACAGGGATCAACAGGCCAGTGTGGCTAAACACTGACATCCTCTCTGGGCCCAACGTCCCAGCCTTCTGGCCTGTCGTTAACGGATCTGAGTGAGTAGCCAGGTAAGGGCAATCATATTAGCCAGATCTCAGACCTGTATGTGCTTTAGCTATAATAGCCAACTCCTTACACATACAATCTGGGACCAGGCTAGAGCAATCTTTCTTCATTGACCTCTCATTGGTCTTCTGTTTCACCATGTACAATTTAGTTTTGTCTTTTTCTTTTACAATTAGCCAGATAAAACTCACTTCTCTTCTACTAGTATGCTCAACTGTCCTATTTCTCCAGGTTCTTGGCACTGATCCAGCAGAAGTTTCCAGACGTGACCATCTCTCCTGGATGGGCAGTTCTGTACATGCCCCTGTTCTCTAAAGTCACCTACACATAGGCCATGGTGGAGGACATGTACACCATCATCAAAAATGTCCCTCAGAAAGTCACCTTCCCCATCCACGCTCTCATGGCCAGGAACGGATCACCTCACATCAGCTGACTGCTCAGTCAGTCGCCATGGTAACTGGAACTGCTCCTATATACAGTAATTGATCTAGTCCTGACTTTCACATCTTTCAATCACACTGGTTGAGGTTACGGAAATATCTCAGGTTTGACTTGTTCACACTCACTAGTTAGTGTGGGGATCTAGATGTGATGACTAGCTTAGAAAGAATGCATTAATGATTAAACATAAAAGGTTTGTACTGTACTGATATAAATTGTTTCACATAACAAGCTGAGATTCATGTGAGGAACGTTAGGGGGTAGGATGAGATAAGACTTGTATTTCTCACAGACACATACACACTGCCTCTTTGTTAAACCATCATACTCAAGGACATGTGTACTGCAAAAAGTGCTGACTTTCTGGATAAGTTGCAAAACAACTAGACACCTGGCAACAGTGGAGCGCCAAGGGTCTGGGACCAGCCTGTGCGCCAACGATTGGCTGAGTAAGTCTAAACCACGCTCAGTCTCTACTCTGATAGGCCCAGCAGGGAGCAGGAACTATCTCTGTCAGAGTATTTTAAGAAGAACTCATAACAATGGCTTAGTTCTCTGAGTGCCCTGTGTGGTATTTCAGTGGACCCGTATATACGAACATCATATTTACCATTGAAGTTGTTTGCATTAATTAAAATACTAGTCTATTTTAGAAGACCTCTTTTGTTCCTAATACCAGATTTGAATTGACGCAACTTAACAATTGGTGACCCCGATGTGATCTGGTAGAAGGGACTTCGCTGGGTATTGTCCGGCCCATTGGACATCTCTGTCATTGAACGGTGTGTTTCACAAAGAGTCCGGACTACTAAAAACAGGTAAGCAGACACCTATTGTTATATAACTAAAGTTCTGCACATTGGCTTTATCCAAATTAATTTTGTGAAATACCTGTCTGATGTAAGTGAACTAAATTATGAAACTATTATGAGTAGATAAGCACCATATTGTGACATGCAAACCTGTGGTGAATGTGATGTTAAACCATGGTACCATAGAGTATTGTTCTACCGGCAAGGTCCGTAACTACGAGGGTACGGCTAGGTTCGAAGATACAGGGAATAATTGACTTAGTAATTGCTATCGGCAAGGTCCGTAACTACGAGGGTACGGCTAGGTTCGAAGAATTACACCGGCAAGGTCCGTAACTACGAGGGTATGGCTAGGTTCGGGAAATTTTAGATAAATACTAGCGACTGGCAAGGTCCGTAACTTAGAGGGTACGGCTAGGTTAAGCGGAGTATTTTTTAGATAGGGAGGAGGATAGTAGGCGATGGTGAATTTGACAATGTAAAGATAATGAATAACTAGTATGACTAAACTGAAACGTTTGAACTGATATAACTGAACTGTAATGTTGGTGTTTGAAATAACATAATACTGGTTTTAAATAATTATGTTGAAGCAATTTGGTTTATTATTTGATTTAACGTTTGATGTTTGACCCTGCAAAATACTGGTAAAATAATTAGACTGAAATAATTTGGTTTATCGTTGAAATATAAATATGCACCGACTTTAACTAATTAGGTGGGAATAATTTGATTTAAATAAATAGACTAAAGTACTTTAAATAACGGCAGAATATTGGAAACGCTAAAACGAAAAACAGACAAAGCCTGTTCCCACTGGACACAGAAGGGAGAGCCGCGAGGGGAGGGGCTGGAGACAGCGAGAGTGTGGCTTTTGGAGTCAGGAAAGACTGGGAGTTGGCTGGGAACACCACGGGGCGATTGTTTGAGAGGTGCCTGTGGGTTTCTGACGATATATACGTATGAACTTGCTCACCCGAACGTAGACGTACATCATGGGTGAGAAAGTAGAGAATATTTACATTTGCATTTTTGGTAATTTAGTAGACGCTCTTGTCCAGAGCGACTTGCAGGAGCAATTGGGGTTGGGTGCCTTGCTCGAGGGCACATCGGCAGATTTTTCGCCTGGTTGGCTCGGGGATTGGAACCGGCGACCTCTAGGTTGTTGGCGCGGCGCTATTGGTCACTAAGCTGCCTGCCGCCCCATATGAGTTTAAGGTTGTGCCGTTGTTTGATCATGTGATAAGGTTTAATGGGTAATCGGACCATAACTAATGTGGTTATAGAAGTAATGTATAAATAGTGGAGAGCCAATAGGGGGCTCCATTGAACTATTATGTTTTGTTGGGCATTTCGGTGGCATGAGGTGAAGTCTGTGTGTATGAGTGAATTCAACGGCTGGTGTGGGTGGTGACCGGATGCTACTGAGTATTTGGTTTGGTAATGTTGAATGGACGATTTGTAGCGTGTTTTGGGGTTAAATAGAAAAACTCACTTATTCAATAGGGAATGGGTGAAGGGAGAGAGAGCATTACTGATTGGATTGAAAACTGATTGGATTTGCAAAAAGTCATCAACGTAAGGACATTTCGTCCTTTTTTCACCCAACTTTTAACCTAAATCCAATGAGATGACATTTTTTGTTGATTTCACATTGAATCCACGGGGGGCCAGTATGAAAATGTATGCACTCACTAACTGTAAGTCGCTCTGGATAAGAGCGTCTGCTAAATGACTAAAAATGTAAAATGTAAATTCAAGTTAGTTGACAACTCAACCAAATGTAAATCAAAACTAGACGTTGAATTGACGTCTGTGCCCAGTGGGACAGGTCTAAGATGTGAAGACATGATCACGTCTTAAATGACAGTTTGTAACATTTATGTTTTGTTGTATTTAAAGTTATTCCAAAAAAATGAAAAACAAATGTATTCAATTTCATCATAAAATATTTATTGTAAGATTATTAGCAATAATTGTGTACTATCTTTTGTATTTTCTATTCAATTTTCAATATATTCACTTTTTTTTAATTACCTTAGTTTAAGATAACAATATCTTATCTTAGATAACAATATCTTATCTTATGTGTAAAGTTCAACATTTAATTGCCTAAAAACATATCGGACATATCAAATGCAATTCTGACCCTTCGTCAAATAAAAGAGCCCTTCTCAGTAAAAAACAACATCTCGTTAGTATTCTTTCTCTGGAAAAGTTTAAATACTTTAAATTGATTTCAAACATTGTCTCATTTTTCACAAGTTATGATTGGAACATTGTTCAAAAAGAAAACTATATCGTTTTCCATACGAATAATCCTTGTTGTCAACTTCATGGATCATTTTAGCGTGTGCAGAGGCCAGAGGGCTCTGGGCATGGTTGAGCCAGGTCACAGGGGGTTGGGTGTCAATCTAATGAACACAGGTGGGGAGTGTAGGGAGACAAGTGCTTTAGGGGTAGTCATATGCATTGCTCACATCCCCAAAAACTGTCCAGGTGCTGGATTGAGTCCTGTTCAATCCACACAATTTCACTGTAGATGCTCCAAAATCTTCTTTCATTATAGCCTGGTCCCAGATCTGTTTTGCTAAATCCTACATTCATGGTCATTGTAAATGACCATAGGAGTTGGCAAGACTGCACAGATCTGGGAACAGGCTCCTTTCATTAATCAGTCTAATAAACAGTTGAAGATAATCAGATCATCTAATGGAAGTTTGTTCAATCGATCAGTACAATAGTCATCAAGGGTGAGGGGGTCAGGGTGGTGAGGATAAGGGGTTACAGTTGTGTACTTTTTAGTGTGGAGAAGGGTGGTTGGTCTCTCTAGTTGGGACTGGGGGTGGAGGCATGGTCCTCCCTGTTCTCCTGGAGGAAGGTGTTACAGGAGCAGAAGATGCCGTAGAAGCTGGAGGAGAGCCCGGCGATGTCTGTCGAGATGTAGGGCAGGACCTCGGGAGACGCCTGGTTGAAATAGGAGATCTAGGAGAGCCAACACAAGGATAGGAGTTGTCATCATCATTAACAGTGCAATCTGTCATGTTCATTTTCCCAGTGGAAATTCAAGGTATTTCAAAGAAATTGGGCAAGCAAAAGGCAAACAATTACATTTGCCAAGACCCACCGCTTTGGTTTACAAACAAGTGCAGGGGCAGAACTTATGAGCAGAACTACAAATTACAGTTCACACTCTTTCTTACCTTGGAGATATTTTTGGAGACCTCCAGTATGCTGAAGCCGGCACACAGCACCTCTCCCCTGTTGTAGCCCTCTATAGGAGGGTGTGTGGGTAGAGTGACCGAACGCAGAGCAATAACATAAGGGTCCCTTGGAAGGCAAAAAAAACAAACATTGTCACTCAATCGCTTTCACTCACATGGTCTCTCCTCTCTTTTCCTGCCTGCCTGTCTGTATGTCCGTCTGCCACTCACCCGCTGTCACAAGGTGGTCTCCTGGAGGCCAGGAGGATGAAGTCCTGGACCATCCCTCCCTGATTGGATGAAGGGCTGTTACTGACCCCGCCCTGGCCTATGGAAGGAGTCACCAAGCGGTACAGAGAGTCATCATCGTCCACCCTAAGAATCAGCTCACACCTCCTACACAGGGAAAGTCATGAAATCAGGAGAAGCCAGTGTGACACATTACACTGTAAATGTGGGGGAGGCTGCTGTGTATACTCTTGAGGACTTATATGCCACCAGAGAGAGTCCGGATTGTGTGTGTGTGTGTGTGTGTGTGTGTGTGCATACAGATACCCACTCATAGTTTGGGTCCCACTCCACTCTCTTGCTGAGGTCAGAGAGCAGCATGAAGGCCCTCTCAGCCGGGACGTCTACCTCCGTCTCAACCTTAAAACTCAACACCTGCTTCTGCTCCAGGGTGTACAGGTTCACCTGGGGGCCAGAGGGGGATTACATAAACCAGGAAAAGACTAGTTCGGTCATGTGATCAGGAAAAACTGAGGGCCCCCTTGGCCCTAGACATGACCTTTACATATGTGATCATGTGATCGAGAAAAACTCAGGGCCCCCATAGCCATAACCTGTGGTCCACTATGCCTTGTGGTTAACCTAAAAGAGAGTCTCAAGAATGCTCACCTTGTTTTTCTCAGAGTTTAATACCCAGTTGTTTCTAGCGGCCAGCATCTTCAGAGCAGACACGTTGTTGTAGCTGAGGTACACCTGCAGCCATTCACAATACATTAAAAGTCAGTTGTTACTCACATACTACTATCATATTACTACTGTATGTGAATAGGAATTGTTCCACTATTCATATTTTACACTAATTTAGCTTCAAGTGATTGGACAGTCCATAAAACCGGCCCAAGTATGCCCTTTGGTCTTACTTGTGACTGAGATGTGTTTATTATTCTTGATCCTTCTTGATCAGCATTTCAACTCATGTCGGTACTGTTTAACTCTCACGTCTAAGTTGTATCAACTGTTATGTTAAGAGAGAACCCGAGTGAGAACCAGAGCTTGTAGTCAGTGAGTACAGTGAGACCTTTGAGGCCCCTTCTCCTCCTTTACCTGGTTGCTGTGGTCCCACGGTACAGATAAGGGCACCTCTGTCTGCTTGCAGGATATTATGTACTTCCTGAATAAACACAGAAAATTCTGTTGGCATCTCCGTTTTGTGCCTTAATTCCAATTATGAATATATATAGTGCATGAAGATATTTTGATAGATCTAGATTTTGCAGTTACATTTTACATTTTAGTCATTTAGCAGACGCTCTTATCCAGAGCGACTTACAGTTAGTGAGTGCATACACTTTCATACTAGTTATGTTAACAAATAGGCTAATCTGTTCACCTGTCGAGTCGGATCTTCTTTCTAGCAATGGCCTCCTGGTAACGTCTCCTTCCCTCCTGTCAGTGAGATTCAGATCAGACAACAGGACAATAGTAATATGATAGTTTAAGCTTCGTCGAGTAAAGCTTAAACTATGTATTTAGATTGTAGTCAGGTATTGTAGGTAGTTATCGTGGGTTGTTGTATGTAATTATTGTAGGTATTGTATTCGGCTGAGCCCGGTGAAGCACGAAGCTAGCTAACCCACTACCTGGACTAGCTAGCGGGTAGCTACTGGTAACTATTAGCAACTGTGGATAGTTGTTTCACGCCTGAGAGTACCTGTAATTACGGCAGCTAGCTGCCTACAATAATTACATACAATAATGCCTACCATTCAGCTGTTTTTCTAACCTCATTGTCTGAAGCGTTAACGTTAGGTAGTAAGTAGCTACTGTGCTCGAAATGTAGCTAGGTTGTTGCTACCTGGATAGCTACTAAACAATAGCTGGAACGCCTAGCGAACAGACGAACTGGCTGAGTCAATTCAGTGGCTAGCTTTGCACTTGGCTAGCTAACAGTAGCTGCTAGGGGTAAGTTATAACCTACATTTTTGTTTTGTTTTTACATACTGGTAGCCAGAGTCGTTCAAGGGAATTCGGGACATGGGTGACTAGTTAACGTTAGCTTGGCTCTCTCTGTGTGTTCGTGCCGTGGGAGGACGGGTTTCTTCATTGGCAGAAAGCAATGGCTAGCTAAGCTAGTATGCTAACTATTCTAGCTAACTAACTGGCTGAATAAATTGACGACGGACTCGCTCAAGCTGTCCGGACTAGCCCACAACGTTAGACACGGACACGAATGATTGGCTTGGCGTGTTGACACACTGGTGGTTTGTTGTGGCCGAGTATTGGTGCTAAACCGTGTTGTTGGAGTCCGGCATGCTAGTTGGCTGTGGCGTCATATGACTAGGTGCCCTGGACGGTTTTCACGGACGAATACTGTACCAAGTTAGCTAGCTGAATAAACTAAGTTAGTCTATTCCTAGAAAACATTGAACCACTGTAGTTTACAACAATTACAGTTTCTGAGGTGGAAGTTGGGAGAGTTATATTTGGGTGTTTCAGTGAAACGTAAGTGAGGGAGGCCCGCTCTCTCGCTTTTCCAGATGTTTAGTTCATTTCATTCCGATCTCCTTTGCATTATTGTAGCCATTTTCTGTAGCCTGTCAACTATGCCTCTGTCTATCCCTGTTCTATCCTCTCCGCACAGGCTATACAAACGCCTCACACCGCGTGGCTGCTGCCTCTCTAACCTGGTGGTCCCTGCACGCATGACCCACGTGGAGTTCCAGGTCTCCGGCAGCCTCTGGAACTGCTGTTCTGCGGCCAACAAGGCAGAGTTCATCTCAGCCTATGCTACCCTCCAGTCCCTCGACTTCTTGGCGCTGACGGAAACATGGATTACCACTGAAAACACTGCTACTCCTACTGCTCTCTCCTCGTCTGACCATGTGTTCTCGCATACCCCGAGAGCATCTGGTCAGCGGGGTGGTGGCACAGGAATCCTCATCTCTCCCAAGTGGACATTTTCTCTTTTTCCCCTGACCCATCTGTCTATCTCCTCATTTGAATTCCATGCTGTCACAGTCACTAGCCCTTTCAAGCTTAACATCCTTGTCATTTATCGCCCTCCAGGTTCCCTTGGAGAGTTCATCAATGAGCTTGACGCCTTAATAAGTTCCTTTCCTGAGGATGGCTCACCCCTCACTGTTCTGGGTGACTTCAACCTCCCTACGTCTACCTTTGACTCATTTCTCTCTGCCTCCTTCTTTCCACTCCTCTCCTCTTTTGACCTCACCCTCTCACCGTCCCCCCCTACTCACAAGGCAGGCAATACGCTTGACCTCATCTTTACTAGATGCTGTTCTACTAATCTCACTGCAACTCCCCTCCATGTCTCCGACCATTACTTTGTATCCTTTTCTCTCTCGCTCTCCTCCAACACTACTCATTTTGCCCCTACTCAGATGGTAATGCGCCGTCGCAACCTTCACTCTCTCTCTCCCGCTACTCTCTCCTCTTCCATCCTATCATCTCTTCCCTCTGCTCAATCCTTCTCCCTCCAATCTCCTGATTCTGCCTCCTCAACTCTCCTCTCCTCCCTTTCTGCATCCTTTGACTCTCTATGTCCCTTATCCTCCCGGCCGGCTCGGTCCTCCCCTCCTGCTCCGTGGCTTGATGACTCATTGCGAGCTCACAGAACAGGGCTCCGGGCAGCCAAGCGAAAATGGAGGAAAACTAGACTCCCTGCGGACCTGGCATCTTTTCACTCCCTCCTCTCTACATTTTCTTCATCTGTTTCTGCTGCTAAAGCCACTTTCTACCACTCTAAATTCCAAGCATCTGCCTCTAACCCTAGGAAGCTCTTTGCCACCTTCTCCTCCCTGCTGAATCCCCCCCCTCTCTCTGTGGATGACTTCGTCAACCATTTTGAAAAGAAGGTTGACGACATCCGATCCTCGTTTGTTAAGTCAAATGACACTGCTGGTCCTGCTCACACTGCCCTACCCTATGCTTTGACTTCTTTCTCCCCTCTCTCTCCAGATGAAATCTTGTGACTTGTGACGGCCGGCCGCCCAACAACCTGCCCGCTTGACCCTATCCTCTCCTCTCTTCTCCAGACCATCTCCGGTGACCTTCTCCCTTACCTCACCTCGCTCATCAACTCATCCTTGACCGCTGGCTATGTCCCTTCCATCTTCAAAAGAGCGAGAGTTGCACCCCTTCTCAAAAAACCAACACTCGATCCCTCTGATGTCAACAACTACAGACCAGTATCCCTTCTTTCTTTTCTCTCCAAAACTCTTGAGCGTGCCGTCTTTAGCCAACTCTCTTGCTAGCTCTCTCAGAATGACCTTCTTGATCCAAACCAGTCAGGTTTCAAGACTGGTCATTCAACTGAGACTGCTCTTCTCTGTGTCACGGAGGCTCTCCGCACTGCTAAAGCTAACTCTCTCTCCTCTGCTCTTGTCCTTCTAGACCTGTCTGCTGCCTTTGATACTGTGAACCATCAGATCCTCCTCTCCACCCTCTCCGAGTTGGGCATCTCCGGCGCGGCTCACTCTTGGATTGCGTCCTACCTGACCGGTCGCTCCTACCAAGTGGCGTGGCGAGAATCTGTCTCCGCACCACGTGCTCTCACCACTGGTGTCCCCCAGGGCTCAGTTCTAGGCCCTCTCCTATTCTCGCTATACACCAAGTCACTTGGCTCTGTCATATCCTCACATGGCCTCTCCTATCATTGCTACACAGATGACACACAACTAATCTTCTCCTTTCCCCCTTCTGATAACCAGGTGGCGAATCGCATCTCTGCATGTCTGGCAGACATATCAGTGTGGATGACGGATCACCACCTCAAGCTGAACCTCGGCAAGACGGAGCTGCTCTTCCTCCCGGGGAAGGACTGCCCGTTCCATGATCTCGCCATCACAGTTGACAACTCCGTTGTGTCCTCCTCCCAGAGTGCGAAGAGCCTTGGCGTGACCCTGGACAACACCCTGTCGTTCTCCGCTAACATCAAGGCGGTGACCCGATCCTGTAGGTTCATGCTCTACAACATTCGGAGAGTACGACCCTGCCTTACACAGGAAGCGGCACAGGTCCTAATCCAGGCACTTGTCATCTCCCGTCTGGATTACTGCAACTTGCTGTTGTCTGGGCTCCCTGCCTGTGCCATTAAACCCCTACAACTCATCCAGAATGCCGCAGCCCGTCTGGTGTTCAACCTTCCCAAGTTCTCTCACGTCACCCCGCTCCTCCGCACACTCCACTGGCTTCCAGTTGAAGCTTGCATCTGCTACAAGACCATGGTGCTTGCCTACGGAGCTGTGAGGGGAACGGCACCTCCGTACCTTCAGGCTCTGATCAGTCCCTACACCCAAACGAGGGCATTGCGTTCATCCACCTCTGGCCTGCTGGCCCCCCTACCTCTGCGGAAGCACAGTTCCCGCTCAGCCCAGTCAAAACTGTTCGCTGCTCTGGCACCCAAATGGTGGAACAAGCTCCCTCACGACGCCAGGACAGCGGAGTCACTCACCACCTTCCGGAGACACTTGAAACCCCACCTCTTTAAGGAATACCTGGGATAGGATAAAGTAATCCTTCTACCCCCCCTTACCCCACCCCAAAGAAAAAGAAGAAAAGAAAACATATTGTGAAGTGGTTATCCCACTGGCTATAAGGTGAATGCACCAATTTGTAAGTCGCTCTGGATAAGAGCGTCTGCTAAATGATGTAAATATAAATGTAAAGGACAACATTGTGAAACATTGATTAAATAGGGCCCTTAATTACCGTTACTGCTTATAATTTTTTTTATTTAAATTTGAATATTTAATCTAATCTTGATCAGTTGTAAATGAGCTTCAGGTGACTGACCAGCGGTTCGGGTTGTATCCTTGGCAACGTGCAGGGCTTGCCTTCCCGGTCGCGGACCTCGAAGATCATGAAGGCGCTGTTGATGTGTCTCAGAGGCTCCTCCCCCTGATAAGCCTCCGCACACACGCCCACCTCCATGCTGCGACATCACAGGTACACTCACGTTACCATCTCAGCTCAGCACTCCAATGGAAGTTAATGAGTGAAATTTGAATTTATTAGAAATTGATCAATCCATTACTGGTAACACTTTACATAATAATAATAATATAATATGCCATTTAGCAGACGCTTTTATCCAAAGCGACTTACAGTCATGCGTGCATACATTTTTTTTTTGTGTATGGGTGGTCCCGGGGATCGAACCCACTACCTTGGCGTTACAAGCGCCGTGCTCTACCAGCTGAGCTACAGAGGACCACAATAAGGTTACATTTGTAAAGGGTTTATAAAGGGTTTGTAATTACACTTTTTTATTCCAGGAATGAAGGCCTCATCTGAAGATCTCAAGCCATATTATTGGTGTGGTTCGCTGGTTTCGGAGAAATTCCAGACTTTGTGAGATCTGCCCATTTGTGAAACGCGATTGAAATAAAGACGACCTGGAACGAGCACAGAATTTTGTGTTGACACTGACATCATGTGACAGTGCGTCGTGAAGAATCAGGATGGATGTGGCTATGAGAAGTGTGCAAAGGCCATAAAGAAGAGATTGCGCAAAATAAACGTTGTTCAGAAGATACAAATGTTGACAGAGGGTAAATTCTCTATGCAATTTGTTTCTGTTTTGTATACAGAAGTTCTGCTGGATGATTTAGCACGCTGCTCAGCTAAGTAGCTAGCTAGATAGATCATGTTTGCTAGCAGTAGTAGCACCTCTGTTCTACTTAGCTAGCTAGGAAAAGTTAGCTAACATTAGGTCAAACTTAAAACACATTTTTTTATATAGAAATTCTGCTAGACGATTTAGCACAAGTTAATATTTGGCATGATATAGTTAGCTAGCTAAGTAGATCAAGTTTGCTGGCTAGTTATCTAGCTTCGCTAGCTAGCAAACGTTAGCTGCCAGCTAGCTAACAAAATTTCCATGCAATTTGTTAAGCTAGCTAGCTTTTTTGGATTTGAACGCTAGCTAGCTAAGTAGTTATCTAACCGTTGAACTCAGGTACTGTCTCTAGCTAGGTAGCTGGCAAGTTAGCTAGCTAGCATCCTTTGTCACCACACTAGCGGTTCCAATTTGAAGTCTAACTTACTAGCTAGCTAGTGTATTAGCAGGAATTGTGATAACTAACCCCTTTAATCTGTGGTAGCTAACTATTAGGGTTAAACACTAGCTATTATTATTATTATTATTATTATTATTATTATTATTAGCTTGCAGTGGATAAAATAACTAGCTAAGCCTAAATAGTATAAATAATGATGATAGTAGAGTTATGTGTAGCTAGTGTTAAAGGGGAGAACACAACCCCCCAAAGGCATCTTTTTAGCAGTTATAAATGTTGGTAACTCATTTGTTAATGGTCAGTGGATTGCCACTTTAAAATAAGGTATACTTTTAGCAGTTCTACATGTGGGTAAATCATTTATAGATGATTTGAGAGTTCAATCAGAGCTTAGACATACACTACATGACCAAAAGTATGTGGACACCTGCTCATCGAACATCTCATTCCAAAATCATGGGCATTAATATGGAGTTGGTCCCCCCATTGTTGCTATAACAGCCACTCTTCTGGGAAGGCTTTCCACTTGATGTTGGAACATTGCTGCGGGCTCTTGCTTCCATTTAGCCACAAGAGCATTAATGAGGTCAGGCACTGAAGTTGGGCGATTAGGCCTGGCTCACAGTCGGTGTTCCAATTCATCCCAAAGGTGTTCGACGGGGTTAAGGTCAGTGCTCTGTGCAGGCTAGTCAAGTTCTTCCACACCGATCTCAACAAACCATTTCTGTACGGACCTCGTTTGTGCACGGGGGCATTGTCATACTGAAACAGGAAAGGGCCTTCCCCAAACTGTTGCCACAAAGTTGGAAGCACAGTATCGTCTAGAATGTCATTGTCTGCTGTAGCGTTAAGATTTCCCTTCATTGGAACTAAGGGGCCTAGCCCAAACCATGAAAAACAGCCCCAGACCATTATTCCTCCACCAAACTTTACAGTTGGCACTATGCATTGGGGCAGGTAGCATTCTCCTGGCATCCACCAAACCCAGATTAGTCCGTCGGACTGCCAGATGGTGAAGCGTGATTCATCACTCCAGAGAACACGTTTCCACTGCTCCAGAGTCCAATGGCGGTGAGCGTGATTCACCACTCCAGCCGGCGCTTGGCATTGCGCATGGTGATCTTAGGCTTGTGTGCGGCTGCTCGGCCATGAAGCTCTCGACGAACAGTTCTTGTGCTGACGTTGCTTCAGCACTCGGCGGTCCCGTTCTGTGAGCTTGTGTAGCCTACCACTTTGCGGCTGAGCCGTTGTTGCTCCTAGACGTTTCCACTTCACAATAACAGCACTTACAGTTGACCGGGGCAGCTCTAGCAGGGCATACATTTGTTGGAAAGGTGGCATCCTATGACGGTACCACGTTGAAAGTCACTGAGCTCTTCAGTAAGGCCATTCTACTGCCAATGTTTGTCTATGAAGATTGCATGGCTGTGTGCTCGATTTTATACACCTGTCAGCAACGTGTGTGGCTGAAATAGCCAAATCCACTAATTTGAAGGGGTGTCCACATACTTTTGTATATATAGTGTACTTATAGGCAGTATTGGGTACTCATCACTACATACATCACTTTGTTAAACATGTTCAGTCAATGAATGGTGGGTACGAGGACCAAAACATTCAACGTTGAGAGGATACCTCCTCCACTGTTTTACCAACCAAAGGTATTACGGTTACCATTTCACACCAGAGCGTTCACCATACTATCACAGAGAAGTGGTAAGTGTGTTGCCATAATCTGGTAAAGTGTAATATGTTAGGAATGATGATTGAATAAATGTCCTGGATGTAAATTTGGCCAGGGCATCAAGGTTTCAAAGGTGGGTCCACACACATGAAAACCAACCTCTTCTGTTCCTGGGACAGAGCACCAATGCATCAAACCCAAAAGTGAGAAAGTAACTGTTGTTCAACGGTGCATTGAAAAGACGGTTGCATGATGATACATAAGGGCTAATCTTATAAGCATTTGTAAATCCATGTATAAATGGCTAATAACTGGAGGTAAATATTGGCTCACTATTTGGCTAACACTGACCTGTTATTGCACTATTTTGACCAAATGCGATATAACTGTTTATTAATGGTTTATAATGCATTTACAAATGATTAAATCAATCGTTAATAACTATTATAACCCCTTTACAAATGGAACCTTATTGTAAAGTGTTACCCCGATTACTCAATAGTACACAAGTACTCCCCCATTGATTTAAAAGACTCAAATACAAAAAACTGTCACTGTCAAACCAATTTATAATTTTGCTTTATACAGTATATGATCTAAAGCTCACCTGTTCTTGAATGCATTGTTGACGATGGCTTTGAGGACCAGCCGGTCACCCACGTGCGAGGGACCCCTGAAATGGAACATGTCTATGCTCTGCAAGGTGGGGTGGGCGTTACACAGACGACTGGAGGAGGAGAGGAGGAGGAGGACATGACACAGATGAGTCCAAAAAGTCATTTAAATGTCATACGTTTTGTTTTACCTGGAATCAATGTGTAATAACATTATTACACTCGGCTTGTGTCAAAATAGGACCATCACACTCTCCCAAAAGTTTGGTTGGAGAATAAAACCAATGAATCTAGCTAAGCAAAAATGTGATAGGTGCGCAGTCAAAAAAGCTTTTTGAGTGCAGTCCTGTAACATCTTTACATATTTAAGAGTATTACAGGTGGTGTGCATCTGGTGTGGGTGTTATACCTAGCAGCGATGGTAGCCACGTTCTCCATCCAGGCCATGATCTGTCCTCCGAACGTGTTGACCTGGTGGTTGGCATGAGGAGGAAGAACCAACTCAACACTCTCCACCCGTGTCCTCTCTGCTGGCACCGCCTTCTCAGCCTCCTGGACCTCCACTAACACACACACACGTTATTACAGCACCCGTCAGCACACACAAATCCTCCCAGAGTGCGAAGAGCCTTGGCGTGACCCTGGACAACACCCTGTCGTTCTCCGCTAACATCAAGGCGGTGACCCGATCCTGCAGGTTCATGCTCTACAACATTCGGAGAGTACGACCCTGCCTTACACAGGAAGCGGCACAGGTCCTAATCCAGGCACTTGTCATCTCCCGTCTGGATTACTGCAACTCACTGTTGGCTGGGCTCCCTGCCTGTGCCATTAAACCCCTACAACTCATCCAGAATGCCGCAGCCCGTCTGGTGTTCAACCTTCCCAAGTTCTCTCACGTCACCCCCCTCCTCCGCACACTCCACTGGCTTCCAGTTGAAGCTCGCATCCGTTACAAGACCATGGTGCTTGCCTATGGAGCAGTGAGGGGAACGGCACCTCCGTACCTTCAGGCTCTGATCAGTCCCTACACCCAAACGAGGGCATTGCGTTCATCCACCTCTGGCCTGCTGGCTCCCCTTCCTCTGCGGAAGCATAGTTCCCGCTCAGCCCAGTCAAAACTGTTCGCTGCTCTGGCACCCCAATGGTGGAACAAGCTCCCTCACGACGCCAGGACAGCGGAGTCACTCACCACCTTCCGGAGACATTTGAAACCCCACCTCTTTAAGGAATACCTGGGATAGGATGAAGTAATCCTTCTAGCCCCCCCCCCAAAAAAAAAAAAAATTAAAAAATGTTTTTGTTGTAAAGTGGTTAACCCACTGGCTATAGGGTGAATGCACCAATTTGTAAGTCGCTCTGGATAAGAGCGTCTGCTAAATGACTTAAATGTAAATGTTAAATGTACCAGACCCCACCACAGGGGACATAGTATAGACAGACTGCACTACCTTTTAGGACTATGCTATTGTTCCATTGTACTTTTGGGACTATTCTATTGCTTACATTGTACTTTTAGGACAATGCTATTGGTTCCATTGTACTTTTAGGACAACGCTATTGTTTCCATTGTACTTTTGGGACTATGCTATTGGTTCCATTGTACTTTTGGGACAATGCTATTGATTTCCATTGTACTTTTAGGACAAAACTATTGGTTCCATTGTATGAAAATGTATGCACTCACTAACTGTAAGTCGCTCTGGATAAGAGCGTCTGCTAAATGACTAAAATGTAAATGTAAAATGTAAACAAATGCAATATTACTCAGCATAAAGTGTCATACACCATTACAGTTCCTATAGTGGTGATAGTCCTCTCGCAAAGGTCGATGCCACGGCGACTTACCTTGTTGGAAGGCCCTGTTGGTGAGCAGGTCCTTTATGATGTCAGCGTGGACGAGCCTCATCCTCCTCCTCTCAGCTGCTAGACTGTGCTCCACCTGCTCCGCCTGGGTACGGGGGACCAACGGACGCAGCTGCACCTGTAGAGTGGACAATCACAAAGTGAAGTGAATGCAGATTACAGCACAGAGCATACACACACTTAACATTACTCAGCATCAACTCTTAAACGTCATCACAGCATCTTTATAAAGGCATTCTCTCATTGATGGTCGTCCACACACTATGTCCCCAATCCAATCCCACCTTCCCTTCCGTAGTGCGCTGGCTGACAAACGTGGCAACTGCCTGACACACCCTCCAGTGGCTATCGCTGAACAGGTCCTCACAGCTCACCACGATGCCAACCTTTAGACACACACACAAAGCATCACAGTGGATAAAATCACAGGAATTATACTATTGTGCAGTTGAAAATCAATACGTTTGGATTTGGACTGGGTATATGTTATAGGGTTTGGATATGGCCTGACCTCCATACTGGTGTTGAAAGCTCGATTGACTTTGGCCTTGATGTTGACCACCTGTCCAACCCTGAAGAAACACACAGACTTCCATAAGTAAACCATACTTTATCATGATAGTAATTTAGCAGAAGTTCTCATTAAGAGGGAATTAGTGCATTCAATGGAAGATGATTCAACAACAGACACTTACCCAATAGTGTGTTCAAAGTGGATGTCATCGACCGAGGCAGTGACACAGGGACACCCAGCATGCCTTTCAGCTGTGGTGAGTAAATAAATATTGACGTTATACTTCCTGTCTAAAGTGTGCTGATTACAGTTAAGGATGGACTACTGTTCCACATACTATTATAGCCTTGTGTGCCAAGTTTAGGGCTCTAGTGAGCGCAATAGTCATTTATTATGACAGCCATTTACAGTGAGGGTAAAAATTATTTGATCCCCTGCTGATTTTGTGCATTTGCCCACTGACAAAGACATGATCAGTCTATAATTTTAATGGTAGGTTTATTTGAACAGTGAGAGACAGAATAACAACAAAAAAATCCAGAAAAACGCATGTCAAACATTTTATGAATTGATTTGCATTTTAATGAGGGAAATAAGTATTTGACCCCCTCTCAATCAGAAAAATGTCTGGCTCCCAGGTGTCTTTTATACAGGTAACGAGCTGAGATTAGGAGCACACTCTTAAAGGGAGTGCTCCTAATCTCAGTTTGTTACCTGTATAAAAGACACCTGTCCACAGAAGCAATCAGATTCCAAACTCTCCACCATGGCCAATACCAAAGAGCTCTCCAAGGATGTCAGGGACAAGATTGTAGACCTACACAAGGCTGGAATGGGCTACAAGACCATCGCCAAGCAGCTTGGTGAGAAGGTGACAACAGTTGGTGTGATTATTTGCAAATGGAAGAAACACAAAAGACTGTCAATCTCCCTCGGCCTGGGGCTCCATGCAAGAACTCACCTCGTGGAGTTGCAATGATCATGAGAACGGTGAGGAATCAGCCCAGAACTACATGGGAGGATCTTGTCAATGATCTCAAGGCAGCTGGGACCATAGTCACCAAGAAAACAATTGGTAACACACTACGCCGTGAAGGACTGAAATCCTGCAGCGCCCGCAAGGTCCCCCTGCTCAAGACAGCACATATGCATGCCTGTCTGAAGTTTGCCAATGAACATCTGAATGATTCAAAGGAGAACTGGGTGAAAGTGTTGTGGTCAGATGAGACCAAAATGGAGCTCTTTGGCATCAACTCAACTCGCCGTGTTTGGAGGAGGAGGAATGCTGCCTATGACCCCAAGAACACCATCCCCACCGTCAAACATGGAGGTGGAAACATTTTGCTTTGGGGGTGTTTTTCTGCTAAGGGGACAGGACAACTTCCCAGCATGAAAGGGACGATGGACGGGGCTATGTACTGTCAAATCTTGGGTGAGAACCTCCATCCCTCAGCCAGGGCATTGAAAATGGATCGTAGAGTGGTAATTCCAGCATGACAATGACCCAAAACACACGGCCAAGGCAACAAAGGAGTGGCTCAAGAAGAAGCACATTAAGGTCCTGGAGTGGCCTAGCCAGTCTCCAGACCTTAATCCCATAGAAAATCTGTGGAGGGAGCTGAAGGTTTGAGTTGCCAAATGTCAGCCTCGAAACCTTAATGACTTGGAGAAGATCTGCAAAGAGGAGTGGAACAAAATCCCTCCTGAGATGTGTGCAAATCTGGTGGCCAACTATAAGAAACGTCTGACTTCTGTGATTGCCAACAAGGGTTTTGCCACCAAGTACTAAGTCATGTTTTGCATAGTGGTCAAATACTTATTTCCCTCGTTAAAATGAAAATCAATTCATAACATTTTTGACATGCGTTTTTCTGGATTTTGTTGTTGTTATTCTGTCTCTCACTGTTCAAATAAACCTACCATTAAAATTATAGACTGATCATGTCTTTGTCAGTGGGCAAACATACAAAATCAGCAGGGGATCAAATACTTTTTTCCCTCACTGTATGTCACAGCAGCACATCAGTAGGAACAGTGTGACCTTTCAGTCCCTGGATATTGTCCATATTTAGCCTAACCTGACTGGATGTTTTCTCCCCCTAAACTAAGTAACAAAAGTTACAATTGTTATGCCAGTGAGAAACTATGCCAACATTATATATGCAACGGCCTTACTGAGGAGGATGTGGGCTTGTATGAGATATTATCATTCAATCATGTCTTACTAGCTATAAAACCTAAGATAAACTTTACTATGAAACCTAATCATGTCTTACTAAGAAACTTTAGTCCTATTGTCATTTAGTCTGGTGTTCTTGGTTTAAACTTGTGTTGCTGTTCTTGTCCATTAGTGTTCTGTATTTTGTCATGTTCTATGTTTTGTGTGGACCCCAGGAAGAATAGCTGCTGTTTCTTCAACAACTAATGGGGATCTGAATAAAAATCATTAAAATTATCATCCCATCTATAATCCAAAACTGGACAGATAGGCCTATTCCCACAAGCCCATTGTGAGTAAGAACACACATACACACACACACACCTGACAGACAGGCTGTAGAGTCCATCCATTTGAGCAGCTCGCCCACGCTGAGCTCCTGGCGGTGGTTGGCATGGCAGGGCATCACTATCTGGCACTTCTTCACCTCTGTTGGGTTCCTGTACTCCTCCTCCCCATTTTGGTGTCTGCTCATTTTAGGGGTCCCAGAGAGCTTATGCCTTCTCTAGGAAAAGTAATATAACGTTAGTTAATAAGGAAAATGCATTTAATTTGAATGACCTACCATGACCAACATGTTACCCATAAAATTAGGCTATAGCCTGCGAATACAGAAATGGCTACATTTAAAATGAAATATATAATATATGCTTTATAATCCCTGGGTCTTCAAAGGGTTAAATAGACAGCGCAGTAGCAAAGAACTCTGTGGCAGTAGTGCTTGCCTGCCAAGCCCCATGACTCACCTGACCTTAAATATACAAAGTAGGTGTGACATTCTTGCGCAGTGATTGCAAAATATTCTTCTGTGTAAGGAGCTTCCCCAAACCTACACAGCTAAATAGCAGCAATTCTAGTTGATTCCATTTAACAGCTGCAAGTACCGTCGTAAAAAGTGTAGCAGCATATTTTCATATTAAGACTATAAATGTATAGCTAAACTAAACTGTCTGAGATACCAGCATAAATGGGCACTGCACTAGTGGGCGCAACTCCAAAGTACAAACATGAAATAGAAATGGCTACGAAGCAGCGGAATTAGGATACAAAGAAGAGAATGGTGGTTTTGTCGATTAATTTACCTCAAAAGTTATAACACGCACGGAATATCTCGAGATTGGGTTTTTCAGCTCGTGTACTCCGCCAATATAGTGTCGACAATCTCCGGCCCGCTTCAGGTTGGTCATGACAGCGTGGTAGGAAGTGGCACTAAACAACACCTCTCTCCACATTTTAAGGTGGAATGGATAATTTCACCGGCATATTTCATTGTAGTTTGAGTACGACATACAGTCCACCTTAATTGTGTGACAACATCTGTACCCATTCAATACATTCTGGAAACAAATAAATCATTAAAATAATGTGTTTATCATAATGACATAGCTATAATGAACAAAAATATAGACGCAGCAAGTGTTGGTCCCATGTTTCATGAGCTGAAATAAAAGATCCAATACATTTTCTATACACACAAAAAGCTTATTTCTCTCAAATTCTGTGAACAAATTTGTTTACATCCCTGTTAGTGAGCATTTCTCCTTTGCCAAGATTATCCATCCAACTGACAGGTGTGGCATATCAAGAAGCTAATTAAACAGCATGATCATTACACAGGTGCACCTTGTGCTGGGGACAATAAAAGGGCACTCTAAAATGTGCAGTTTTGTCACACAACACAATGCCACAGATGTCTCAAGTTTTGAGGGAGCATGCAATTGGCAGGCCCTGGCTGACTGACATGCAGGCTACCACATAGGTGGATCAGGTTCCTCAGCAGGGCCACGCTGGAGAGACACAGAGGAGAGACACACCACATAAAATCAAATGTTATTTGTCACATGTGCCGAATACAACAAGTGTAGACCTTACAGTGAGATGCTGACTTACAAGCCCTTAACCAACAATGCAGTTTTTAGGAAGTAAAAAAGAAAAAGAAAATAAAAATAACCAATAATTAAAGAGTGTTAAGTTGCGTCAATTCAAATCTGGTATTAGGAACAAAAGAGGTCAATACACGTCTTCTAAAATAGACTAGTATTTTAATTAATGCAAACCACTTCAATGGTAAATATGATGTTCGTATATACGGGTCCACTGAAATACCACACAGGGCACTCAGAGAACTAAGCCATTGTTCTAAGTTCTTCTTCAATACTCTGACAGAGATAGTTCCCGCTCCCTGCTGGCCAATCAGAGTAGAGACTGAGCGTGGTTTAGACTTACTCAGCCTATCCGTTGGCGGCACAGGCTGGTCCCAGTCCCTTGGCGCTCCACTGTTGCACACTGTTGCCAGGCATAAGTTGTTATCATCACAACCTGTAGAGTCAGCACCTTTTTGCAGTACACATGTCCTTGAGCACGGTATAACAAAGAGGCAGTGTGTATGTGTCTGTGAGAAATACAAGTCTTGAAGCTCTCAACCTGCTCCACTACAGCACCATCGATGAGAATGGGGGCATGCTCGGTCCTCCTTTTCCTGTAGTCCACAATCATCTCCTTTGTCTTGATCACGTTGAGGGAGATGTTCTTATCCTGGCACCACACGGCCAGGTCTCTGACCTCCTCCCTATAGGCTGTCTCATCGTTGTCGGTGATCAGGCCTACCACTGTTGTGTCGTCGGCAAACTTAATGATGGTGTTGGAGTCGTGCTTGGCCATGCAGTCATGGGGGACCAGGAAGTACAGGAGGAGACTGAGCACACACCCCTGAGGGGCCCCCGTGTTGAGGATCAGCGTGGCAGATGTGTTGTTACCTACCATTACTGCCTGGGCACAGAGACAGTGGAGTTAAAGTTCAGAGACTCAAGCTGACGCAGCCATGTATTTTGTGCTTTTGATGTGAATGAAACCCTGTGACACCAGACAATTATGGGTCATGGACTAGTCCGTTTTCATTCGTCTGTAGACTGTATGGTTTGTGAGTAGTGGTCGACTAGACGCACCAGAACTTTTCTCTGGAAGGTCATTCCTCTATTGGTGTCCCAGAAGTGAGCATTCCTGATGGCATTTTCAACCCTCTCATCTTGGTCATGACAGTAATAATTCTCAACAGCATATTTTCATTACATGTAGGGTGCCTCCATATTTCCCCTGTTTTGTTCTTAAGAGGTTCAAAGCTGTTAGTAAACAACCAGTATGGTACACCACCACCATAAGTGAACAAATAACACAACAATTACATATTTATTTCATTTATTTCATAAACAAAGTTATACAAAACCCAATTCCCCTGTGTGAAAAAGTAATTGCCCCCTTACACTCAATAACTGGTTGTGCCACCTTTAGCTGCAATGACTCCAACCAAATGCTTCCTGTAGTTGTTGATCAGTCCCTCACGTCGCTGTGGAGGAATTTTGGCCCACTCTTCCATGCAGAACTGCTTTAACTCAGTGACGTGTGGGTTTTCAAGCATGAACGGGGGCAAATACTTTTTCATAGCACTGAAAATTCAAAATGTAAAAGTCTTGCCACAACATCTCAATTGGGATTAGGTCTGGACTTTGTCTAGGCCATTCCAAAACTTCCAATTTGTTGCTTTTTAGCAATTTTCATGTAGACTTGATTGTGTGTTTTGGATCATTGTCATGCTGCATGACCCAGCTGCGCTTCAGCTCACAGAAGGATGGTCTGACATTCTCCTGTAGAATTCTCTGATACAGAGCAGAATTCATGGTTCCTTCTATTAAGGCATAATAGTCATAATAATAATATTTAGCAGACGCTTTTATCCAAAGCGACTTACAGTTAGTGAGTGCATACATTATTATATTTTTTCATACTGGACCTCTGTGGGAATCAAACCCACAACCCTGGCGTTGCAAACGCAATGCTCAACCAACTGAGCTACATCCCTGCCGGCCATTCCCTCCCCTACCCTGGGCCAATTGTGCGCCGCCCCATGGGTCTCCCGGTCGCAGCCGGCTACGACAGAGCCTGGAATCGAACCAGGATCTCTAGTAGCACAGTTAGCACTGCGATGCAGTGCCTTAGACCACTGCACCACTCGGGAGTGAACCATCACAAAAAGTTATACTTTTTTATCATATGTCCATAGAACGTTCTTCCAAGAGTATTGATGATCATCCAGGTGCTTTTTGGCAAACTTGAGTCAACTTTTTGGACGACATGGTTCCAGTAATGCCTGCCGAAAACCAAACACTGCATTCCACAGTAAGAACATCATACCAAAGGTCAAGCATGGTGATGGTGGTGTGATGGTTTGGGGATGATTTGATGCCTCAGGACCTGGACGACTTGCCTTAATAGAAGGAACCATGAATTCTGCTCTGTATCAGAGAATTCTACAGGAGAATGTCAGACCATCCGTCTGTGAGCTGAAGCTGAAGCGCAGTTGGGTCATGCAGCAAGACAATGATCCAAAACACACAATCAAGTCTACATGAAAATTGCTAAAAAGCAACAAATTGGAAGTTTTGGAATGGCAAGCAATGCTTGAAAACCCACACATCACTGAGTTAAAGAAGTTCTGAATGGAAAGTGGGCCAAAATTTCTCCACAGGAACGTGAGAGACTGATCAACAACTACAGGAAGCATTTGGTTGGAGTCAATGCAGCTAAAGGTGGCACAACCAGTTATTGAGTGTAAGGGGGCAATTACTTTTTCACACAGGGGAATTGGGTGTTGCATAACTTTGTTTATGAAATAAATGAAATAAATATGTAATTGTTGTGTTATTTGTTCACTTATGTTCCTTTTATCTAATATTAGGTTTTGGTTGAAGATCTGATAACATTCAGTATCACAAATATGCAAAAGTGGAGAAAATTAGAAAGGGGGCAAATGCTTTTTCATAGCACTGTATTTCAAAAACTAAAAGCATTGTTTTTGGGACAAATCATTCACTAAACCTCAACAAAATATTGCAATGAAAAATGTGGAAATTTACCAAGTTGAGGAAACTAAACTGCTTGGAGTAACCCTGGATTGCAAACTGTTATGGTCAAAATATATTAATACAACAGTAGCCAAGATGGGGAGAGGTCTGTCCATAATAAAGTGCAGCTCTGCCTTCTTAACAGCAATAGCAAACAAGGCAGGTCCTACAGGCCCTAGTTTTGTCGCACCTGGACTACTGCCCAGTCGTGTGGTCAGGTGCCACAAAGAGGAACTTGGGAAAATTACAACTAACCCAGAACAGGGCAGCACGGCTGGCCCTTAAATGTACACGTAGAGCTAACATTAATAATATGCATGTCAATCTCTCATGGCTCAAAGTAGAGGAGAGATTGACTTCATCACTACTTGTTTTTGTAAGAAGTATTGACATGTTGAATGCACCGAGCTATCTGTTTAAACTACTAGCACACATCTCAGACACCCATGCATACCCCACAAGACATGCCACCAGAGGTCTCTTCACACAGTCCCCAAGTTTAGAACAGACTATGTGAGGTGCACAGTACTACATAGAGCCATGGCTACATGGAACTCTATCGGTTGTAACATTTATT